CCGAAAAGCCTGGCCGCGGCGTAGGCGCCGAGCGAGCGGGCATCCGCTGACAGCCGGGCCTCACGTAAGGCCCACACGCGTCCCATTAGTCAGCCTGAGTTCCCCTCGGGCGAGCCGTCTGGCGCGGCCCCAAGGCCGGGCGCGGGCGGGGCGGGGGGGCGGGGCCGCAGCGAGCCGGGAGCGGGGCGGGGGCGCGGGCTCTGCGGGGCCCGGCCGGGCTCGGTTCCGCGTTCCTGGGCCCGCGGGTAAGCTGAGCCGGCGGGGCAGGCCGCTCCCTGGCTGGCGCCGAGGCGCCGAGCTGCGCTTCACGTGCCCGCCATATCAGCGGCGGCGAGGAGAGGGGGCAGGGAGGCGCGCCGCAGCCCCGCAGGGTCTCCGGCCCCCGTCTCCCCCTCCCCGCTGGGGGCTGGGCCGGGACCACCCGGCAGCCCCCATCCCCGCGCGAGCCGAGAGCCGCGCTGCCAGACGCCGAGAAGCTCCCAGGGCGCCGTTCCGAAAGCTGCGCGGCGGCAGCAGCCAGGGGAGGGTGCTCCTCGCGGCCGCCCCGGGAACTTCCCAGCCGCCCCGCCGCCGCCGCCGCCGCCGCAGTCACCGGGACCGGAAGCCCTTGCGCCGCCCCGAGCGGCCTGCGCTGGCCCCCAGGGCTGTTCCAGACGAGGGCTGGCTGCGCGTCACCCTCGATTCCTCCCGGCCCCAGGCGGCCGCCTTCGCCCTGGGGCATCCCCATTTAAGCCCAGAGGACCCTTCTCGCGGTCCGGGGAGACCTCCCTCTGTTATCGCCAACAGCGCCGCCCCACCCGCGCCCCCAGCCCCGCAGCTGGGACGGGAGGGGCGCGGAGCAGCCACTCCGGCCGGGCAGGAACACCTGCTCCTGGGCCCTGCAGCTGGGCGCGTGGTGCCGGGAGAGGCTGCCTACTGTTGTGTGCAGAGATCGCGGAGGAGAAAATGGGGCTCCGAAGCTCAGGGCCAGGCGCAGCCGCGCCTCGGCCGCCCCCATCTCCCACCCCTTCTGTGTGATCAAGCCCGAAGCCTGAGGACTCGGGTCTCGTGAGAGTCGAAGGGCCACCACCCCTGGGATCCGTCTTCTGGCCTTAAGAGGTCGTTCGCAAGACAGATGGGGCAGAACCTGTTTTGGGAGCCTTCCCGGTGTTCGCCCCCGCTCTCCAAACCAGACACACTCATCTCCCCTCGGCCCCTAGTCTAGCCGCCGGCAGGGGACCGCAGTAGGTCACGGTGGTACCAACAACGACCCCCCTCCCCACGAAGGATCTGGTATGGGGTTCGGACTTGGCCACTCCGCGTGAGGAGGGCCGCTGGACCCTCCCCATCTCCTCCATGCCCTGAGGAGATCGGGCGGCCGAGATGACCTGCGCTGCTTGCCCTGCCTCACCCCCCTCCCCCGTCCCGCCCTCCCCGGCGCTCCTGGCTCAGGGCCCGGCCGGGGAAGGCGTTGTTTTGCCAGCGGGAGCCGAGCGAGTGCGCAGAGAAAAGCCTCCCTGCTCTAATGAGAGTGCACACAGCGCTGCAGCGAGGAGGATGATTACCCGGCGGGCGGGGGGGCGCGGGCCCGGGCCGCGGGCGGCGTGTGCGGCGGCCCCGCGGGCCCGGAGTCCCCGCCTGTCTGGCTGCTAATCGCACGCTTTCTGCTGTTACGGAGGCAGGCGGGAGCTGGCGGCCGAGCCCAGCGCCGGCGACTCGGCGGGTGACACGGAAACATGGCGCAGCGCCCCTCCCCCCCCCCCCCCCCGCGCTCCCGCCTCCCGCCTCGCACTTCCTCCCGCCCGCGCGGCTTTTGCAGTTCTAATGCTCTGCTGTCGGCCCGGCACCATTACGCTAGCAGCCGCTTCTCGGCGGCCCCGCGCGTCTCTTTCCCCTTTGTTTTCAGGGTCTATAGAAAACGTTTGCTTTTGTCCTGAGCTCTCGTTAAACCAAACTTGTGGTGGCAACGGAAGGCGGTGCGGGCGGGGAGGGGCCCGGGGATTTTGGCAGCAGGCGACCAGAGCGTGGTGGAAACTTCTCTCGCTGGGTTCCCCGCCACCCCGCCTTCCACCCTCCACCCTCCCCTCACACACACAGGCCAGCCGGCCTGCCGACGCTTCCCCCTTCTCCCCCGAGAGGCCTCAGCACTCCAGGAAGGAGATCTGGGCCAGAGGGACTGTGACCAGGGGTGAAGAGCCTAGGGTGCGAATCTGTGAGCCCCAAGTTTTTGGCACTCGGTGACCTCGCTCCTCGCAGCCCTGAGTTGCCTGTTCCTCCCGTTGGTCATTCGGGGCTTTGTATCAGCCGGTGGAGAAGGAAGGGGAGGGAAGAGAAGAAAGTGGTTCGTGTGTGTGGTTTTTCTATTAAGGGTTTGGTGGAATCTCTCCCCCCCAAATGCACAGCCTCCTTTATAGGAACTAGGACGAGATGGGGGAAACGTGGGATCCCCTTCTGGGGATAGGGTCAGAAACCTAGGCCTGGGGGCTGGATCCTACTCTACTGGCCGGCTCAGCCACATGCGGGGTGGTGCGACCTTGCAGAGTGGGAGACAGGAGGGCCAGGTCCCTTGATCCAGGAGACGCGAAACCTCCCTCCCCCCGGGCCTGAGCGCAGGTCCCCACTGGCGCGCTCCCCACACCAGCGCGCACGCCTTGGCTCTCCGCACCGGAGCTGCTCAGGCGGCAATTTTTTAAGCCTACAATTAAGCGAGGCGTCGCCGTGTCCTCTGCTAGTGTCGATCCTGTCAGTCGCACATGGCCTTGGTGCTCCGGTCCGAGGCCCTGCGATTAGTCACAGGCTCGCTTCGCTCCTTCCCTAATCCGCCTCTGCAGGCAGCCTGGGGACGCGGCCGACTTGGCGGCGCTGGCAGGGAGCCACCGCGCGCGAGGCGGGCCGCCTGGCCAGTACCAGCCAGGCTGCGCCCGAGCCGGCGCGGGCCCCGGGGTGCGGGCTTGAGACGCCCTCCCCCTTCACAGCCCCCGGGCTGGGGCGGCTGCGCCCCTCCTCCTCTCGCCCCACTCCCGGGCCTGCGAGATCTATTTGTGTGGTGTCATTTGCATAAAAATAGGACAAGTGTTTCAGTGCGTTCGAACGCGGGAGGCGAAATCCTTATTGATGTGTCTGTGTGGAGCCCTCGGTTGTCGGAGCGGTTTGATTTAGGGTGTTTGTGTTGCCTTCTGCGAGAAATGAGAGGAAATCCTGCGCAACGCCTTCGGCGGCCCGGGCCCCCCAGAGCATGCCCCTCTGTGCGGCCGGGAACGGTCCACCGCCTGGACCCCGGCGCGACGAGTCCACAGCGAGCAGGTTGAGGGCCAGGCGGGCGGCCCATTATGACTCATAAAACCGGGCGGCATAATCACCAGCTGCCAACCGGTTTACGTGTGGCGTTTCCCAATGCTCCCTTCGCCCAGCCCGGGCCTCCAGCGGGTTCGCCCTGGACGCGGCCACAGCCGCTCAGTGGGGGCTAATCAAGGGGCCGCTCGGGCCCGTCGGCAGCGCGGCTTCCCTGCCCGGGCGACCCCCGCTCTCCCGGCCTTTGCGCTGCTCGCCAGCAACTCCTCAGCTCGGACGAATAGCTGGGAGGGCGGCCGCGCGGAGCCAGTAAATCAATCATTAACTCCCCAGCGAGGCCTGGCCAGGGAGGGAGCGGCCGCCAGAGCCGAGGCCGCGAGGCGAGCGCAAGGCCCCCACCCTGGGTCGGGAGCCGTCCACGCGCCAGCGGACAGGGTGCGTGAAGGCGGGTCTCCCCGGCGCCTCCCCATCCCCTCCAGAAGCCTCCGCCCGCGGGGCCTTTCAAGCCCGCACCTCGTCTCGCCGGGCAGGTCGGGTTGCTGTGCGGCCCCGGGGCGGGCGGGAGCATTAACGAGCCGCCCGGGGCCTCGCGGCCTGCTCTCCCCAGGAGAGCCTGCCGCGCTTGGGTAAGCGCCTCGGAAACGGTCGGGCTCCTCCAGACTCGGGCTTGCCAAAGCAAGCTGATCGCCCTTGTGTCCACCGGTCTCCCTGCGGCGCCCTCCCCACGGAGCCCACCGTGGGGCGGCACGCCGGGAGTTAAACGCTCCGGTTCGCCCTGGCTCCTCGGCGGCGCTGAGAAAACGCTGATCAAAGTGGTTACGGGGAAGGAAACACACGCACACTCGGGCCTGGGTCGAGGAAGGCCGACTGGAGAGACGGCTCGGAGCCGCCTGCCTCGACCCGCTTCCCACACTCCCGGGAACGCGGCGGCGGCGGTGGCGGCGCTGGCCCGCGCGATTCCCTCGGCGGAGCTCGGCGCGGCGGGGCCGGGAGGACGGCGGGGAGGGGGGAGGGACAAGGGGGCGGGAGGCGAGCCCGGGCTGCACGCCAAGAGGCCCGGAGCCGCAGATTAGTCACCGCTCGCCTCGGCGCTCACGGATGCGCCCGGGAACCGGGAGGGCAGGCGTCGGCCCCGCTCCGCCGGGCTCCGGGCGCCTCGGCGCCGCGGCGCGGGTGCCCCCGCCCCGAGCTCCGCGCGCGCCCCGCGCGGCTGGATGGACTCTCGGGGCTCGCGCTGTCGTGATCCACTTGTCAGTTCAAGGGCAGGACAGAAACTCTGCAAGCGGAGTCTTGCGAACAGGAAATTTCTCATTGACAAGGTGCTGCCCCTCCCCCACGCCCGGCTTCAAAACAAAACAAAAACCCAGCGCGAGCCGCCGACGCACCCAGCAGCGCGCGCTGCCGAGCCCCCAGCCGCCGCGGCGACCCCCGCGCCGCGGCCCCGGCCCCGGTCCCGGCCCCGGAGTGGGGAGCTCGCCGAGCCGCGGGCCCCGAGCGCAGGCGGCGGCGCACGGACGGTCAGGCCCCGCGGGCAGGCTCCGCTCGGGCCCCGCCGAGGGCGCGCAGCTGCTCCCCTCCGGGGCGCGGGCAGGGGCGGGCGGGGGCGCCGAGCCCGGGAGGCTCCGCGCCTTCTTGGGCTGTGAACCCGGCGGAGCGGCTTGGCGGAGCTGCAGGAGGCCGCCAGGTCAGCAGCTCCCCGGAGGGGGCGAGGGGCGGGGAGGCCGCGCGGCGCCGCCGACTTGGCGAATCCCGCGGCGGGGACCCGGGAGGGCTGCGAGCTCGGCCTGGCAAAGTTCCTGTGGAAACTCCATGTTTAGAAACTCGAGCGGCGGGGCGGGAGGAGGGGAGCGCGCGGCGCGGGGGCGGCCGGCACCCGCCTTCCACGCCCGGGAGGGTCGGCCCCCCAGCCCGTGGGCAGTCTGGAGGGGGGCGAGGGGGGCGAGGAGGGCCGGTCCCCGGGCCCGTTCCTTTGTGCCTGCCCCACTCTTTCCTCCACACTCGAAAGGAAATTTCTAAACCCCTTTCATTTATTGAATTCAGCAAGAGAGGAAGGCTGCCTTTTTAGGGACCCTGATATTGAGGGTAATTTCGTATTTGACACATGTAAATACTTAGTACTCTCAGGTAAGGTCAAATTATTTATCATCTTAATTTATATTTCAATAGGCCTACAATTTAGAGGCGCGAAATGCCTCCTTATGAATCATTATGGTCTATTAGGAGAAGTAATGTATAAACAGCACTATTTGGGAGGGAATCACTTATGTTGACATTTAAATGGCTCTTCAATAGTTAAAAAAAAAAGACATTCAAGTGCCTTTGATTAAATATACAATTTACAAGACCATCAGCAAAGCCATCAGGAATATAAATTCTTCCTGGGATTTTTATTTATTTATTTCCGATTTTTTTTAAGCCTTCCAGGGCATGTCATTTAATCCCTATGGGAAAATCTACACATTTCAAGCAAAATATCATCCTCCTCTCCCTCGGTTAACGTCTTCTCAGGAACCCAGGGAAGTGCTGATTATGTGAGCAAGCACCCCAGTGGGAAGTTTGTAGATCTTTGTACCTGGGTAACAGAATCAAGACTTTCTAACGATATTGCAACTGATTTGTGAAACATGGTAGCTTCCCTGCTCGAGTGGAACCTTCCTGAAGGCCTTTGTCCATCCATCCTGGTGTTCCCACAGCACTCAGCACAGGGCCTCCTCTGGTAATTTTGTCATCCTCCTACACCTGCTACAATATCCCTGCAGAAGCTCTTCCTGGCTGCCCCCTCCCCCAACTCATGTACTCTTTATTGAATTACCCTGTCGTATTCATTCCCTCGAAGCATCTCCCATCTTCAGAATGCCCTTCCTTGACCCCACATCTCCTTCCTCGGCTCCCTATTTATCTGTTCCCCTGCACAGCTGTACTTCTCAAAGGAGCTGTCTACATCCATGGAGCATTTCCATTTTCTTACCTTGTGTACACTCTAAAAATCAGCTAGGTTTGAAGTTATTCTATGATTTGGGGATAAATGCAGCTTTGTTTGTAACAGCATAACGTTAGAAACAAGCTAAACATCCAGCAATGACATTGATGTTGCATGCGTGCAATGAAATATTCTGTAGCTATTTTAAAAATAAAGATCTGCTCTGTCTGTGTACTGATATGGAATGACCCCTAAGGTCTGTTGTTAAGCGGAAAACATAGGTGCAGAGGAAACGGATGTATATAGTATATTACGATTTGGGTATGTTACAGTTTATGTAAAAACAAAGTAGGGGAGAATGTAGACACATATTTGTAGGTGCGGTAAACATCCTGAACACTCCTGGGGAGCACCCCCTACCACCACTTTTCTTTGTACATCTGCATGCCCTCCAGTTTCATTTTCAGAAACGGGAACACTGCACAAGCTATTCTGTATCTCACCTATGAAACTTATCGATACATCTTGCAGGTCATTTTCTATCAGCACTTGGAGATGGGCCTTGTCTGTGTCAAGGTTCATGGAATTTCACTGTCTAGATACAACGTTTATCACACTCTTCACCCCACACCTCCATCCTCCCTGGCCATTCTGCAGAAAGAACTCAAGATCACCAGTCATTTCCCTGTTGCCAGGAGTGGGGGTGGGGGGGGGGTCTCAGTCCTTCCTTGGCCTTGGAAGCACTCAACGCCCCGGACCACTCCCCCCTTAAACTGCTCTTGGCTTCCCAGATGCGGCACACACACGGTTTTCATCCTACCTGAGTCTCTTTCTGGACTCTTCTCTGTGCTCTACTGGTTGCTTGGGCCTGAATCCTCCCCTTTTCGCCCCAGTCTCATCCAGGCCGATGGCTTTAAATACCACCTACTTGCTGATGACTCCTAAATTTTTTCCCCAGTTCCAGACCCCCATATCAAACTGCAGACCTGACCTCTGCGCTTGGCAGTCTCTGTCCAGCTTAGTCATGCCAACAGCTAACATTTGCATAGTGCCGGCAGCACTCTTCTAAGCACTTGCTCTAAATTAACTGTGAATCCTTACGACTACCCTATAAGGTAGGTAGAATTATTATCCACATTTTACAGATGAGGAAACTGAGGCAGAAAGGTGACAGAACATTCCCAATGTCACTCGGAAAATGGTGGCACTAGGATTCAAACGCAGGCAGTCCTGTCTCCAGAGTTCATGTTCTTAGCCACTCTGCTTCACTGCCTCTAGCATGCCTAAAAGTGAATTCTCTTAAAAAAAATTAATGAATCTACAAATATTTTGGGGTATTAACTAGATGCCAGGCTCTGTGGTGGGTGCTGGGGAAACAGCAGTAAGCTGGACAAACTGTCCCTTAGAAAGGGACAAGCTCTTCCCTTGCCACCTGCCCTTTGTCCCAACTCCCTTCCCTATCACAGAAAATGTCTCAGCCACTCAAGCGCTTAAAGCAGAATCCTGGACAGGTCATTCTTGGCCTGTCTCTTTCATCTCCCACCTTACCTTCCTCTGGTTCACTGCAAGGCTAAAATAACATTCTACTTCCAAGTGTTCTAGCAAATAAGCCCACTTCTTCCCGTTGTCCCACATCCACCTTAGGCCAGGCCACCATCTTCTCTTGCCTGGATTAGCATACAGAATTATTATTCCAGCTGGTCTCTGTGCTGCCACTGTCACCTCCCTCCAACCCATCCTCCACATGGCAGCTAGAAGGGTCTTTTGAAAACATGTCACATGTCACTACCCCACTAGTTCCCACTGCACTTGGAACAAAACCCAAACTCCTTAACAAGGCTTACAATCCCTGCCACGTCGTAGCTTGCCACTGTCTATCTCACCCTCTGAGGACCAGCACACAGGCCTGTTGTCAGCTCCTTAATAGGCTCTGAGTGTTTCTCCCTGGGCTGTCATCTCTCCAACAAGACTGTACACTCTGTAAGGACAGAGCGCATCATCACCATCTACTAAGTTTGCATCGATGTCCAGCAATGAGCACATATAAACATAATGTTCTCATAATGTTGTTCGCAGCTGCATCTCATGGTGCCTAGCATGGTACCTGGCCTGTATAGATGCTAAAAAAAAATTTGATAAACAATCAGCGAATGACAGAATGCTTAATACCTTTTTGCTAACTGATTCTATATCCTATATCATGGCCAGAGAAGAAACCAAGTTCAAGAAAGCAAGACAACTGTAGGCGTGTGCTTCTGGAAAAGGGGATGCTGGGCGGGCAGGGAGTGGCTCTGTCGTTCTGGTGAGGATTGAGGCAGAAGAAATTTGGAAAGTGAAGCATGAAGCCGGAGGTGCCACTATGGTCTGGGGAGGTCCAGGGGAGGCCCATGGGAGTGTGGGGTGCGTGGCTACAGGTCCGTGTCAGAGGAGCCGAGGTTTCTGGGTGTGCACAATTGTGCGGAGGCCTTGGACGTCCTATCCTTGCTAAGTGCTGCAGAATGTCATCCCCGGGAGATGAGAGAGGGACATCCTAGCCGAGAGCAAGACAGAGCCCAAACCAGAACTCCTTAGAGTCCTTTGCCTCTTGCCAACCATTTGGTGGCAAAAGATGGAAGCTGTTTTGCTTCTTGAGACCCTCAGAAACCAGAAGAGTGGGTTCTGGTTACACTTGATCTTGGGCAGTTGGAGTTCTCTCAATTCTATGCCCTTTGACTTCTAACAGTAACTGTGCCGCTACAATGCATTTGATAGCAAAGCAAGTGAGGAAGACAAATCCCTACATGATAAAAATAGCTACTGTTTATTAAGGACCTTCACTCTTTTCAGTTACTGTATTAGGTACATTTCCAAGTTACCTCACGTAAGCCCCAAAATAACCCTATGGGTTAAGTATCACGATTCACATTTTATAGTTAAGGAAACTAAAGCTCTTACAATTGCCCCCAAAATACATAGCTAATCCAGCCACGGGGCTTCTACCTGACCCCAAACCTGGGCGCTTTCCAGTAGAGTCTATTGCTTGCCTCCCACACGCATGCACTGTTCCCTCACACCTTAAACTATTTCTGGGATTCGATCCTACACAGCTCTCCAATCGTGTCCTTCTGGGGTCGTCCTGGCAACTCACCAACTGCAGTAAATATCGCGAAAGGAGTTTGTCTCTTTCTGGGATCAGCAGGTCTCAGCTGATCCGTTACGTTCACCATGGGAATCTAAGAATTTATCATCTGAGTGAAGAGTTGCCTTCCTCCCAGGTAAGCTCTGAAAAAGTGTAGGGCCAAGTTCAAGGGAAAGACTTCCTCCCCAGAACAAGTGGATTATAAACACCTTGGAATCTTATACTTCTGGGCAACATTTTTTCCTACTTTGAGCTTCCATAAAGATGACTCTGCTCTTACCATGGGGAGAGCTGGCGCAGGGAAGGGATCATAAAGGAAGAAGCCACCACACAGCCCTTCTGAAGCTGGACAGCTCTAGAGATTTGGGGCTAGGAGTCATTAGCTTTTTTCAACTTTTAGAAGAATAGCTAGGATTTTGTAAGAGCTTACTCTCGGTCAGGCACAATTCTAAACACTTTATATGCATTAATAATTTTATTTCATAGAGAAAACTACCCTATAATAAAGGTACTATTATTTCCCCATTTCACAGATGAGGAAACTGAGGCTTAGAGGATAATTAGCGTGCCCGCTTGCCTGGACACTCATTGCCTGATTCCTAGAGCCCCAACTTTTATCCACGCTGTCTTTCGGACTCTCCTGGCACCTGTGGTCAGCTTCATTACTCTGCCAATTCCACCGGCTCATCATAATTGGGTGCTTTATTGGGATCTGAAGGAAATGGTCTTCACTGCATCCTGGCATGCAAACGATGTCCCCGGAGGACATGACAGCACAGACTGTGTCCAGCAGGTCCCTCTGAGATGCCTCTTCTCCTCTGTAGCTTTCCAAGATGAGGCCCGTTCAGGGCGAGCAACAGCTCTGGTAGGATCCCTGTGACAGAGTGCGGAGAGCCCAGCCCTGCTCTCTTGGACAAACCACACTAGCCAGTGGGCGGATGTCCTCGCCCTTTCAGTGTCAGTGGCTGTGCGGGGACCTTCCTGACCTGCTTGCTGGCAGAGGGAGCGAGGAGGAGGGAAGATCAATCTCCAAGATAATTTAGGTTCTGTCTTTCCTCGAACCAGCCTCTGTCCTCTGCTCTAGGTCTGACGACTATGATTAATGCACCAGCGAGTATTTCCTCTCCTCGGCCTCTTCCTTGCTTTGGGGTTTATTTTACAGCCGTTGCCAGAGTTTCTCCTCAGAAGAGAGTAAATACTCAGAGACTGGAGCACAGCCCTCGGTGTTACTCAGAAAGCGTCACAGGCGGCAGGTGGCACTGGGCCATTCCTGGAGTCGGTGATGTGACTTAGGGGGTATGATTAGCATTCAGTGGTAACCTACCCCCTCCACCAGTGGAAGCCTAATCTTTTAATTATTCTGAAAATACCAAAACTAAGGATGGCAGGCGAGGCAATTAATAGGATCATATGGTCTGTTCCTCATTTGTAATTATATATTATTATTTTTCTCCCTACTTTGTTCCAGTAATGATTTAAGGCTGCTTCCAAAGATACACAAAACCCAGCAAAGATAAATAGAAGTGGGACATGAGTTATAATGTCATGCCTGCTCACACACCTTTGCCCCAGTCCACATAGGAGGACTGAATTTATAACGCCTTTCAAAAATGAGGTAATTCTGCCCTTTTAGTGGTAACACTAGGCTCTTTGTAAAGTGAGGGAGTGGTCCACAGAAATGGAAAGAATGGTGGAGGGGACAAGAGATCCGGTTTCTAACGTTGGCTCCCTCGGTGTGTGACCTTGGGCAAGTCACTCACCCTCTCTGGACTTTGAATTCTGAAATTCTCAAAGGCCTCTGCCAATCTCTGAGGACTCCTCCTCCCTCGCAACCCCTTCTCCCTCCCTTCCCCACCGGCCAGCATGCAGGCGTAAGCCAGCACTGCCCATCTGGCATGGGGCTCCCTAGGAATTACTGTTTGAGAAATGGGTTCCCAAGAAGTGCGCGCCCTCTCTCGCTCTCGCTCTCTGTCTCTGTCTCTCTGTCTCTCTCTCTCTCTCACACACACCCACACTGAAAAATCTTCCCAGACACTGGGACAATGGAACTTGAATTGTCTCTTCCCCCAAGGCAAGGACCCCCTTCAACCTTTAGCTAAAGAGAGACTTCCTGAAGGGTGGCGGGGTAGCATGGAGGATATCCTTTGGGGAGGCAAGAAGTCACGCCCCTCCAGACCTCTCTCTCCCTCCCTCAGTGAGCTACTTTCCTTCCTCCTCTTGCAGTTCAAGACCCTCTTAGAACCCGGCCAACTCTCTAGATCCAGTCTCATCTCCCCTGCATTCCCTTCGCACCACAACTTCCCCTTTTTGATCCCTGGCGGCACCCAGCACACTGCTTAGCATATCATTTTCTGCCTCTACTAGGGCTTCTCCAAGTTTTTCTCGAAGGATTCCACCGGCCAGACAGGGCTCTGGAAGCTCAGCCCTCAAGACTTGCCGCACGTGGGAGGCTGCTGGGAGACCGTTTTGAAAATGCAAGCACACACAGCAACAAGGACGCATCCCACAAATGAAACGTTCCGCAAAAGAAGTCTGCCTCAAACGACTGTGCACAATAGTGTTCCATTTACATCAAGTTTTAAAGGGGGCCAAGCCAATCGAAGGTGTCAGAAGCCAGTGTAGGGGCTACGTGGAGGAAGGGGGACAATGGAGAGGGGCATACCCCTTGGGAGGGGGCGCAAGGGGGACTTCTGGGGGGCTGGGCATACTCTGCACCTTGATTTGGATGCTGGCTACACGGGTGTGCTCAGCTTGTAAAAATTCATCAAGCTGTACATTTAGGATTTATACACCTTTCTGTCTGCGTGCTGCACGTCGATAAAATGTTAACAAAATAAAAAATACAATAAATTAAAAAATACATAAACAGACTGGGGAAGAGTAAGGCTTATAGCCGCTCTCGAGCTCTGGACAGGAGACCTGGCTGCAGGAGACGGGGCCACTCGGGGCGCGAGGGGAGGGCAGTGAGGTTGTTCTAGAGACAGCCAGGAAGCACAGTTTAAAACCACGTGAACAGAAGCAAACTTTCTGCTCCATAAGAGAGTGACGCGCGGGGCACATGCGCCATCTTCACCCTGAGGGTTCACAGTGCCGCTTCGCAGCCGCCCTGCCCACAGCCCAGGACTCCCGAGGGAGAGGGGAAGGTAGGCAGCATCAGCAGATAGCCAGGCTCCCCATCCTGTCTTCCCTCTCTCTTCCTCTCCTCTGCAGGAACTTCCTTCCACTCCAGCCAAAGTGGACTGTTGGCCATCCCTGACACAGGCCCAGCCTTTCTCCAATTGTGCGTGCACGTTCCCCTCCAGGAACTCCTTTCACCCTTCCTTCCTCTAGCCGTGCTTCTTCTCCCTGGTCCCCCCATCCAGCTGGTCATAACATGCAGTTCTGCAGAAAATGCAGTTCGGGAACCTGGAAGTCGCCTTTGACCTCTCTGACGGCCTAACCCCTCCCCAAATCCTCTATGCAGCTCTAGGAATCACACATCCCCTCTGTATCCAGCGCCTGCCCAGCACAAGCTCTTGCCTAAGCCATGGCAACGACCTCCTAACCGGTCCCCTTCATCTACTCCTGCCCCTCTGCAGTCCATTTCCCACACAGCAGCCAACGCAACAACCGCCCCCCAGGATACCAACCGCTACCGGGTGCCAGGTGCACTTCCAGGCCCTCAGCCTGCCCTGGGGAACAGATCGGATGCCTGCCTTCAAGGTGCTTATATTCCAGCAGGAGAGAGATGGATGATAAACAATAAAGGTGACAGAGCATAAAATTACCTTGGGTGGTAGACAGCACTCTGGGAACAGTGGGAGCAGGGAAGGGGCATCAGGAGGGCAGAGGGTGGGGAGAGGGTTCCAGAATTCACGGGGGGTGGGGGGGGTGGGGAGGCCTCTTTGAGAAGGTCAGATGTGACCAAAGACTTGAGGAGATGAGAGCGTGAGCCAAGAGGATTTCCGGAGGAAGAGAGCTGCAGGCAGAGGCATAGCCAGTGCAAAGGCCCTCTGGCAGAAGAGTGCCCGCTGTGTGTAAGGAACACCCAGGATTCCAGGGGGCCCAGAGTGTGGAGGAGGAGGGGGGATCAGAGCGCGAAGGGAAGGCAGCTCCTGTGGCCCGAGCAATGGCGCTCCCATGGTTTTCCGTGTGGAGATAAAGATGAAAACCCTCAGCCAGCCCACCAGGCCCTGCTCTTCAGACCTTTGCTCCCGGCTTCTGTTTCTAGTCCTTTCCCACATCGGGGCCTTCCCAGAAGCTAGCCCAGATGCAGCTTCCCTCCACTCCCTTTGCCTAGCCCCTCAGAGCTCTATTCAAACAGCACTTCCTCTAGGACACCTTCCCCGAACCAGGTTGGTGCCCCAGCTGCACCTCCCGAACCACCCTGCCCTCCCCCACATCACAGGCCTCACGGTTCACAGCAGTCTGTTGTGAAGTCTATAATTAGTTCATTGGGTTCCTTGCACATTTGACAGGTGTTTGCTCTGTGCCAGGCACTGTGCCGGGTGCCAGGGCACTGTGGAGAACCGGAGAGACAATGTCCCTGTCCTATGGGAGATGGACCATAAAAAGAAAGCAAATAAAGAAGATAATTTCAGGGGGCGGCCCCGTGGCCCAGTGGTTAAGTTCGTGTGCTCCGCTGCAGCGGCCCAGGGTTTCTACGATTTGGATCCTCAGCGCCGACATGGCACCGTTCATCGGGCCACGCTGAGGCGGCATCCCACATGCCACAACTACAAGGACGCACAACTGAAAATACACAACTATGTACTGGGGGGATTTGGGGAGAAAAGGCAGGAAAAAAGAAAGATTGGCAACAGTTGTTAGTTCAGGTGCCAATCTTTAAAAAAAAATTTTTTTTAAAAAAGAAGAAGATAATTTCAGATGATGCTATGTGCCCCAAAGAAGATGACCCAGGGCAGTGTGGCTGCGAGGGGTGAGAGAGAGGGGCATCTTTAGCCAGGATGGCCAGTGAGGCCTCATCCAGGGATGGCTTTTGAGCTGAGAAGGGACCAGCTGTCTGAGTGTGGGGGAAAGAGAGCCCCAGGCAGCTGAAAAGCAAAAGCCCTGAAGTAGGACTGACCTTGAACTACTTGAGGAAGAGAAGGACACCAGCCTTTAAGGCCGGACCAGAGGGGGTTGTCTCTCCAGCTAGAATAGCAGTCCCACAAGACCCAAGACCCCTTGTGTTTTCTTTGCGGTTGCATCCGTTGTGCTTGCGCACAGTTGACGCTCATGGCATTTGTTGAATGAAGGAGTACATATTTCAGTTCTGCCCCTCCTTCAATCCCGCTTTCTCTTTGAATCTTCCCAGCCCTCGCCAGACCTCCAATAACACCCCCTCCCCTAAACCAAGACCTCAGAACCTTCACTTGAGATCCTTAGATGGTCTGCTTGGGGCTGGGCAACCCTTTACGTGGCACAAAAATGGTGGCCTCAGCGCCTGTGTCCATTTTCCGGGGGGTGCATGCATCGGAGTTCCAGAGGGTCTGAGAGGCGAAAAACATTTATGAAACTGACCCAACCCCTTGCTTCGCAGATGCAGAAACTGAGATCTACAGGAGGACCCGCGTGTCCTGGGCTCCCCATCGGGCCACCAGCTGCCAGGCCACAAGATGCACCCCAGCTGGCTGCGAGAAGCCAGGGTGGGCTCGCTTGTTAGCATTTGCAGCCTCCCAGCCTCATGGGAGGTGGCTCGCCACCAGTCCCTTTGGTATGGTTGCCTTTGCTTTGCTCTGTAACATACAGTAAGTCCCTTGTGGCGGGTCCATGTCCTCCCTTCTCACATTATATATTTCTTAAGGGCTGGAAGGGCTTTTTTTTTTTTTTTAATGTCACTTTACCTTATTCTTTACTTCTGTGTCTACACGCTTCCAATTGTGGGACGTCATGAGCACCGGCTGCCTAGTAAGCTCCTTCCTCTTATGCCTGAAGGGCCACGGAAGCCGCCACGTGGGGCGTTAACTGGCTGTGGTCAGGTCTGTGGCTGGATATTCTTAGCAGCCCTCGGCCGCCGGTCCCAAGAATTTCAACTCCCCTGTCACCAGGGCTTAGATCCCTCACCACCAAGGCAGAGATGTTTTCTATTTCTGAGCAGACAATTAATTCAGAGTTCAGAGAGAAGCAGAGTGTGCTCGTTGAAAAGGCCCACAGCCCAGCGTCACACTTAGCCTGTCACTACTCACTGCTGCCTCGGGCCGGACTGACAGCCAGACTGTTTGGAAAATCCGTTCTGGCTTAGCGACACTGCTCGGCACGGCAGGAGCTTTTGGCCACAGCGAGGCAGTTAGCACATCTGACCCTTTTGCTGGGCCCCGGGGCAACTCGGAGGCCTGGGAGTCTCTGACGCTCACTGACCTTCCTTTATAGAGGTTTCAAGACGTCCACTGAGGGCCAAGCAGCAACTTAAGTAAAAAAAGAACCGCGGGGATCAGAAATCCCCATTTTGGCCCTTTCCTGAAATCCCTGGTGACTTCCCCTTCTGGATGGAGGTAGCATATTTGGCCTGCCACCAAGCTGTGTGTGCGGTGGTGGGGGCGGGCACGGGGGTTGAGAAAGGGTCTCGGGGACCCTCCACCAAGGCACTGTGGATGGAGGGGGCTGCGCAGAGTCGGCAGGGACGCTGCCGTCAGTGAAGCACGTCTTTTGGTGAAAGTTTCTGCACATTCACTGTCAGTTCATAACGGCGTTCAGAGATGGAACTGAAGTCTGACTGCCCCGCAGAGTCACAGCTCTGGCAGTGGGTGGTGGCTTTGTCAGCCTTTCTGTTGGGCTGCCACCCCCACTGTGTCCCTGAGCTGTGCTGCGTGCCCATCAGAGCCGCAAGTAATCTGGAGCTTGACGTCTCCGAACTCCATGCCATTTCTCCTTGTTTTCTTCCACACGTTCTCATTTCTCTTGGGGTGGCTGTACCTGCAGCTGTGTCTTACTTTCCTTCATTTATCTTGCTCTGGAAGTGCAGGGGCACAGCCTGGGTGGAGAGGCGGGCAGGGGTGCAGGATGGCTTCCTGGGGTGTGTGTGTGTGTGTGTGTGTGTGTGTGTGTGTGTGTGTGTGTGTGTAAGGAGGTTCAGAGAGAGCAGAAATGCTTTCCCTCCCCAGCACCAGCATTCCACCAATCCACAACAGGGAAAAGTCAGGTTCAACGTCAAAACCCCGCATCTTTGAGGGTGCCACATGGTGAGGAAGGGCAGCTGTGGAATGGATTCGGGGGAAGGAGCAGAGGCCTCAGAGGGGAGGAATGAGCACCAGAGCAGCTGTGATAGGAGAAATCTCTGAGATCAATCCTATTCTACAAACACTTATTAAACACCCCCAATGTATAAGTCAGGCACCATGGGAATGAGTATAGGTGCTCTCAAGGGAGACTGCCCTGGAAAAGACCCTCCAGGCACCTTGAGGGAAGCGTCAGGTCAGACGGAAGATGAAAGGGTTTACATGGGGGGGTGGAGGGGTGGCGGTGATAAAGGCAGCTAGGGCCAGGCTGGCTTGTCCTGTTCCAGGAAGCTGCCCACACAGCCCACTCAAGGCCAGCTGAGCGAGCAGGAAAATTGGTGGCAAAGGCAGGCCAGGTCCCTGTGGCCTGCTGGGGGGCCCAGCAGTGATGTGTTAGGGGTGGTGCCTGGGGGAAGGGGCGTGTCTGCTGGAGAGAGCGAGTCTGGAGAGTTTAAGGCCTGTCGTTGGAGTTTGTCCTCACTAACCGCACAAGGGGCAGGTAATAAAATAGCAGATATGGTATTACTAGCAGCTGGCACGTTTGGGCACTTACTATGGTGGGCACCGTGTCATCTCCTGTAGTAGGTTAAACATGGCCACGACTTCTTTGCAGCTCCTCCCACCAAGGGGGTGTGTTATGAGCTGAATTGTGTCCCCAAAATCTATATGTTGAAATCCTAACCCCTAGGTTGAAGTCCTACCTCAGGATGTGACTATATTTGGGCATAGGACTTTAAAGAAGTAATTAAGGTAAAATGAGGTCATTAGGGTGAGCTCTAATCTAATACGACTGGTGTCCTTATAAGAGGAGGAAACATGGACACAGAGACACACACAGAGGGATGACCACGTGAAGACACAAGCCAAGGAGAGAGGCCTCAGGAGAAACCAACCCCGCTGACACCTTGATCTCGGAGTTGCAGCCTCCAGAACTCTGAGACAGTACATTTGTGCTGTTTAAGCCGCACAGTCTTTGTTGTGGCAGCCGAGCAAACGAGTACAGGGTGGACTCGATCTCCTCTGCCCTCGAATCTGGGCTGGCCTGGTGACTCGCTCTGACCAACAGAACGTGGCAGAGTGATCCTGTGTGACTTCTGAGTCAAGCCCTTAAGAGACCTTGCAGCCACCTGCTTCACCTTCTCAGGCAGTTCTGAAAATGCCACTGTGAGGAAGCCAGTCTCGTGTACTAGAGGATGCGAGGTGACAGGGAGGAGAGCCACAGTTCCCCCCAGCTGAGAGCGGGCACCAACTGCCAGACTGCGTGTGAGGCCATCTTGTGCCTCCCCTAGCTGTCCTCTAGCTGACTGAAGCTGCGTGTTCAACCTGGCCAACACACCCAAGAGTGAGGAAGGAGAAACTGTTGTTTTAAGCTACTATGTTCTAGGGTGGTTTGTTACACAGCAACAACAAACTGATACATCTCATAGAAACATACTGTAGGAAGGTTTCCATCTGAAAGTTTTAGAAGCAAATATGTTTTCGTGAATATTGGGCAAAGTACTCCATTAAATGGGAAAAACCTTTATCCAGGGGCCAGCCCCATGCCTGAGTGGTTAAGTTCACGCACTCTGCTTCAGTGGCTG